CAGCAGTGCAGTAACATACGCCCAAGATCAGCAGTGCAGTAACATACGCCCAAGATCAGCAGTGCAGTAACATACGCCCAGGATCAGCAGTGCAGTAACATACGCCCAGGATCAGCAGTGCAGTAACATACGCCCAAGATCAGCTGTGCAGTAACATACGCTCACGATCAGCTGTGCAGTAACATACGCCCAGGATCAGCAGTGCAGTAACATACGCTCACGATCAGCAGTGCAGTAACATATGCCTAAGATCAGCTGTGCAGTAACATACGCCCAAGATCAGCAGTGCAGTAACATACGCCCAAGATCAGCTGTGCAGTAACATACGCCCAAGATCAGCAGTGCAGTAACATACGCCCACGATTAGCTGTGCTGTAACATACGCCCACGATCAGCTGTGCAGTAACATACGCCCAAAATCAGCTGTGCAGTAACACACGCCCAAGATCAGCTGTGCAGTAACATACGCCCAAGATCAGCTGTGCAGTAACATACGCCAAAGATCAGCTGTGCAGTAACATACGCCCATAATCAGCTGTGCAGTAACATACGCCCAAAATCAGCTGTGCAGTAACATACGCCCAAGATCAGCTGTGCAGTAACATACGCCCATAATCAGCTGTGCAGTAACATACGCCCATAATCAGCTGTGCAGTAACATACGCCCATAATCAGCTGTGCAGTAACATACGCCCATAATCAGCTGTGCAGTAACATACGCCCATAATCAGCTGTGCAGTAACATACGCCCATAATCAGCTGTGCCGTAACATACGCCAATAATCAGCAGTGCAGTAATATACGCCCATGAACAGATGGCAGTAACATACGTTTACGAACAAAGAGTCGTAACATAAAACACCAACAGAGCAGTAAGTGTGTCGTCTGTACCACATGTCTAATCCATACCATCTCTACCAATCCATGCCATCTGTATCAAATATCTGCCGTCTATTCCATGTCTCGAGCAATCTACACCATGTCTCGAGCAATCTTCACCATGTCTCGAGCACTCTACACCATGTCTCGATCAC